TCTCTACTCCAAATTTACTAATTGTGTAATCTTAACGGTTTACTTCACCTCTTGTCCTTTGTCCCCCAAAATAGGAGATAATACTAGACTTGTAGTACATTGATGAAGTGGCAATGGCATTGGTTATATAAGATATTGAGGCTGGCACGGTGGCTACCACACCTTATCCAAGCATTCTGGACGAGGCCCAAGGTGGGCGGATATGCTTTGAGTTCGGGAAGAGGTTGAAACCAGCCTGAGCAGACCCCTGTCTGACTAAATAGAAAGAAATTATTGACCAACTAAAAAAATATAGAAAAAAATTAGCCGGGCATGGTGGTGCATGCATTAGTTCCCAGCTTACTTGGGGGAGGCTGAGGAGGAGGATCGCGTTGAGCCCGGATTTGAGGTTGCTGTGCTGTGGAGCTAGGCGGATGCACAGCACTCGCTCTAGCCAGGGCAGGAAGTGAGACTCGTGTGTCTCAAAAAAAAAAAAGGAGTATTGAGTGGGGAACAGGCACAGCTCAACACAATGGTGGGGCCAGAAATGGCACCCATCGGATCTTGGACGTTCTCGCTTCTTGCCGCGGGGCTTTTCACATAAAAGTCGAAATAGAGCGCTGTCCAGTCGCCAGCCTGTCCATTCCCCCTCCGCCCACTGCCTGAGCCTCTGGCTGGATCTCTAACGGACGACTACGCAATAGCTCTTTTGGTTGGTCTTCCGCCCTCTCGTGCCTTCCTCCCATCCATTCACCACACCCGAGCGTCTCTCTTAAACCACATGACCTGATTAGTCGTCCTTTGTGAAAAGAGCTCTTGTTAAGCCCACAGCAAGTGAGAGATCCCCCCCCACCCTACAGCCACCGTTTCTCTCCTTCCCCATCTGTACCAGCGCCCTCTGACACACAGCTCTATTTTGAGCTGTTTCTTAATCACCCACACCTTTTCTCATTCCTGGAATATTTTCAATGGCTCGCTCTCTCTCGCGCTCGCGCACAGTCCCAAAGATTGGATCAATGAAAATAAGGGAAGCAGTACTGCTTTTAAAACTGTGGGCTTTATACCATGGCTACACATTCGTATCACATTTTTTATTTCAACGGTTGTTAAATCTATATGTATAGGAAATCGTTAGTGGTTTGTATTATACTGATTCTAAGTGTTTTCAGAGTGGCCTTGTCTTAAATAACAAAGGCATCTGGACTGGGAAAACTTATTTTACCTCTCACAAAGGTCTGTCCAGAAAGTTAGTTCGCCCGCAAGAATTAGAATGAAGACATTGTCTGTTAAGAATCAAACTGTACAAATGATATATCAGTTATCGGTAAATAAAAAAAAAAAGAATCCTTTGGCCAATTGCAAACAGAAGAAAAAGATTTAAGATCCCAAAGTCTACCCCAGGAAGTCCTTAGAATAGCATGTATGTCAGGAGCTTACAGGGTTAAAATTTAAACTTTAGGTTGTAATCAAGAGATGCCTTGAAAGTGACCTGTTCAGAGCTGCCCAGGAAAACAACCTAGGATCTAATAGGGGGATCTAGAAAAACGTTTCGATTTCCATATTAGAGGTAGAATCTGTACCCATGCCTGTCTGACTCTCTGCTAAACGGTGGGTTCTAAAACACATGTGGATAGAAGATTAATTTAGAGAAGAAGAAAGTGCCTGGTGGTGGTTTGGTTTGTTTTGGGGGTGAAAAAAATAGGGGAACAGAAATTTGATTTGGGCATGTCGCCTTTGAGGTAACTGTAGGACAGTCGTGTGGAAATGTCTGGAATCAGCACACAGTCTCTAAATGAAGCACCACTAATTGCCTCCCTCCTCCCAGGGCATGACATATACTTGGAAATAGTAGTTATATCATCTTTCCATCTGCCATTGGCTGAACTTGTTTTTTTTTTTTTTTTTCTTTTTGGTGAGAAGGAACTTCTTCATAATTTCCTCATTTTTTTTTTTTATTATTGTGCTGGACTCACTTATTCTGAATGAAAGGAACAGAAAGTACTTTTGTTCTGCTGTATTTTCTGTGCAAAAATTTCATTTTTTCTAAAGAGACCTGAAAACTTGGTGAACTTCTGAAATGGAAGAATTTTGACTTCTGCTTTACAAGCAGTGAGGTGCTGCTTTTTGTTTCAGATATTCACTACAGCTTTCTGGCTGCTTTTGGCAGTAAATATTAGAGTGCTGTCATTTTGTTTTTATGTGAAAGACCATAACTTATGTAGTCAAAGGGGAATCTTTGCCAGTATACAGGCAAGTTTCAGTATTTAGCCATGGCAGAGGTAACTACCCATGAAGCAAAGAATAATTAATATCCCTCAACCCACGAGCATCATTGGAACCTATTGTGCCCATTTGGTGTTCAAGGTGCACAAGAATAACATTAGGAAGTTCAGGAACACCCAGGTAATACTAGCGTAGTCATGTAGTCATGAAACACTTAGGTAATGTTGTTAGCACTGTATCAGAATGTAGGTACTAAAAACTTAGGTCTGTGGAAATATAAATTAATTCTTATTTGACAAGTTAATGAACTTGAGCTGCTGCATGAAAATGACATTTTTTTCCCTCTGCTGTTTCCATTTGCAGGTTTTGGCATGGAGGCAACCTTACTCCTGGTGGTTGGCTTTTCCCATACCAAAGGGGTGGCTATCTCCTTTCTGGTGCTTGCTGTAGGATTTAGTGGCTTTGCTATTTCAGGTAATGTGTCCTTTGGGTTTCCAAATCTTGTCTATAGATTCAGCAAGTCTTGGGAGAAGGGAAGGACAAGGATGGTGTATTACTTACTAGAACCTTCTTTCAGTAGCCAGGTCATTCCCAATTAGCAGGACCACTGCCTAGAGAATTTCATCTAGTGGGAATGACTTTGTAAGATCACTGAGGACTGGGCTTAGGAGCTCAGTCGAGCTGGGACATTGTCCCCACTTACTTCGTCATGGGAAAAGACACAAAATGCCAGGGGCCCCTGTGAGGCCCAAACATGCATCCTGGGTGAAGTGGACTTTCCTACTTCAGCACCAGGTCACCCTCCCTAAGAGAGGCTCCTGTGACTTTCAGTCCTCACCTGCTAGAGAACTGCTAATGTCAGCTCAAATGACGATGTCACTTGACATGTAGTCATAGAATCAAAAGGTTTTGTTTTTTACAGTGAAAAACTTCTTTACATATTTTCCTACTCCATTGCCTTCATTTTCCAAACAAGAAATGCAAATCCAGAGAGGGGAAGTGACTTTCAGAATAGGGTAGAGCTTGGCCAGGCACGGTGGTTCACACATGTAATCCTAGCACTCTGGGAGGCAGAGGCGAGTGGATTGTTTGAGCTCAGGAGTTTGAGACCAGCCTGAAGCAAGACGAGACCTGTTCTTACTAAAAAATAGAAAGAAATTAGCTGCCAAAACAAAATATAAAAATATTAGCCAGGCATGGTGGCACATGCCTGTAGTCCCAGCTACTCGGAGTGAGGCAGGAGGAATCGCTTGAGCCCAGGAGTTTGAGGTTGCTGTGAGCTAGGCTGACTCCATTGGTACTCTAACCCGGGCAACAGAGTGAGACTCTGTCTCAAAAAAACAAAAACCAACCAAACAAACAAAAGAGAATAGGGTAAGCAGAGAAGGTAACAGTTACAAGGAGGACGATGTGAGCAGAGGCTGACCAAGCGCAGACTCTGTGCCGGCAACTGTTCAAAGCCCTCTGTGTGTGTTAAGCCCTGTCATTCTCACAGCTACCCCTGGGGAGGTCAGTGATATACAGGAGGAGTAAACTAGCCTACTGTATGGGAGAGGCCACGGTGCAGTCACAGCATGTCATAGAGACTTCAGAAGCTCCCCATGCGAATCTAGGTGAAAGAGTAAAATTCAGTTGTTTGTCTCTCTTTTAAACATTGCAATAGTAAAAATTGTTTCTTACAGAAGTGTTTTCATATATTGCATCTATCTCACAACATTGTGAAGCAAGTACAACTCTCACTATTTTACTGATGTTTACCTAAAGCTCAGAAAAATTGGGTACTTTCCTAATGTGACACAGTTGGTGGCAAAAGAATAAAAGAACAGAACAGTTTTGCCTGGCTCTGAGCCTGTGCTTTTCCCATTGCTCCAGGCTGCCTTAAATATCAAATAGAGTGGTAATGTCCCAGGACAGAAAAATATGTCACCTCTGGTCTAAACTACCCAAAGAGATAGGCTCTTCATTAAAACAAATAGAATTGATGAGTAGTTAAATTAGAAAAAAATATCTAGGTTAAAAGTAGCTTGCAGCTAAGACCTTAGGTTTAGAGGTGCATAGACCTGGGTTTGAGGCTCTTCTTTACCACTTGTTATTATTATTATTATTGAGACAGAGTCTCACTCTGTTGCCTGGGCTAGAGTGCCATGGTGTCAGCCTACCTCACAGCAACCTCAAACTCCTGGGCTCAAGTGATCCTCCTGCTTCAGCCTCCCGAGTAGCTGGGACTATAGGCATGCACCACCATGCCCGCTAATTTTTCTAATATTTTTAGTTGGCCAATTAATTCTTCTATTTTTTAGTAGAGACGGGGTCTCGCTCTTGCTCAGGCTGGTTTGGAACTCCTGACCTTGAGCGATCTGCCCACCTCGATCTCCAGAGTGCTAGGATTATAGACGTACGCCACCGCACCTGGCCTGCCACTTATTATTTATAAAATAAGACATTTGCTAAATTGTTATGATTCTCAAGCCTCTGTTATGTAACTCAAAGATTGGATAGTTGTAGCAGCAACTGCACAGGGTTGTTGGGAGGCTGAGATAATTCATGCATTTTCTCACACTTGCCATGAGTTAGGCACTGTTCTTGGCACTGGGGATGTTGCAGTGAAAAAAAATAAAAGATTCTACCCTCATAAAGTCTGCATTCTAGTGGAATAAAGCCCTAGCTTTATTTATATGAAGCTCTTAAAACAGTGAAATGCATAACAAAATTAATCCGTATTCACCATTATTGTTCTGTTATTGTGTAGTGCAGCCCAGTGCTTCTCAAACTTTACTGTGCATAGAAGTCACCCTAGGGTCTTGGAGGATGCAGGTGCAGAGGGGAGCCTAAGGATCTGCATTTCTAGCAAGCTCCTCAGCACTGCTGGTGTGGGTGGGTCCAGTTCCAAGTGGCAAGGATAGAGCAATCATGACTTGCTTCCAGTAGGATGTAGAGGAACACTTTCCCTTGGTAACTTTGAGATGCAAAAGAGAGCCATATCCTGTTCCCAGGGAGATTGAAATGTTCAGGTTCATGTTGCTTCTTTTCATCCGATTACCAGTTTTCACAGTCAGAGAGAGAGAAACTTAATACCCCAAATCATAGCAGCTGCTGTTTTTAAAAGGCCTTTCTCCATGCTGGCCACTTTATAAACATGATCTCTTTTAATCCCCATCACAACCTGATGAGAAGGGTATGGCCGCATCCATTTTATTGGTGGGGAAACTGAGGCATGACTCAACTTGCCCAATGAAGCTAAGTGGCTGGGATTGGAATAAAGGTCTTTCTAAACCATCAATGACACCACAGGAGGGAATGTGGCCGTGGGGTGATTATTATTCCTCAGGATCTGCTGTCTGTCACCTTTCTAAGGGACAAATATGGATGCTAGGGAAGACTGGCACAATTCAGGAGCTGATTATAGACAAGCAAGCTGAGACAGTTGAGGTTACAAAGATGCAAGGGATGAGCGATGCCTGTTTGGGGAAATGTCCTATGTACAGAACAGCTTGTATGCAATTTTTTTCATCTGCTACAAAACTCTATCAATATCTCAGTTTCTCAGTGATTCCCCCCTCCCTGAATGCCAGGATTGTGCAGCTAGAAACCTAAATGGCTTTTCTCACATTATCTTGAGCTGAACACAGATGCCCATGCTTTGTGTCAGAACAGAATACTCAACAATCATATTAATTGCTTCTTATCTCTGGGTTCTTTTCTAATAAAGTATTTATCACATTCAAATCAACAGTAAGATTAATTAATCTTGCAGCTGTTTTATATTTTGATTGTCTGGCACTTTGATCTGAAAGAGAAGGTATGTTTATTAGCAAAAAAGGATTTGCTCAAAAATCCTCCAAGAATGGAGGTAGGAAAAACCAACCAACTAACCCCAATGTGCCAAATCAGACAAAAAAATGTTTTAATCCTATTTTCAGTTTCTTTGCACAGAATAGAGAATTAAAAAGCTGAGCAAAACCAAGCAAAGGCAAACAAAAATAGGAATAAACAGAACTTACACCCTCCCTTGCCACAATTTCAGTAGTTCAAATTGGCAATTGATTAAACAACTATTTATTGAGTGGCTACTATGTGCCAAGCACTTTGTTAGCCCTGGGAAGATGGCGATAAACAAGACAGGTGGCTGAGCACCCGTAAAGAGCATGCGTGTTGGCTTTCACCTGTATGTGTCATGCAATTAGCAGACATGATTTAACTTAATTCCTACAACAACTTTATAAGAGTGGTTATCTCAGTATACATGAAGAAACTGAGGTTCAGGAAGTTTAAATCCTCAGTCCAGGTTTGCATCTCCTTTAAGTGGCCAGAACAGAGGTCTTTCTGACTCTAAAATGCAGCCCTGGAGTGTACTGGCAAAGTTGGCTGCCAGTGCCTTAGGTCTTCCTCATTCATGGCCTTGCCCTTCCCTGCCTTCATACCTCCACCTTCATTCCACTCATTCTTCTCTCCTGATAAAGGACTGACAGTGAGGTGTTGGTGATTTATTATTTCACCACTCCCAGCAGCAGCATCTTTTGATAGGAGATCTCAAAGAGAGGGAGCTGCGTGGCAGTAGCAGGGTGGTGGTAGTGAGCGCAGGCTAGCTATTTGCTAAGGGCTCTCACATACGGGTTTCCCCTGGAGTCTCATATCACAGGTAAGTATTCATAGTAATAATATTCCCGTATTAGAGACGAGGAAACAAAGTCTAAAAAGTTAGTCGTCTATGTAGTGGAAATAAGATTCAAAGCCAAATTTGCAGACGTTTTCTCAGTTGAGAAATTAAGTATGTGAAAGTTATATTTCATAAGTTACAGAGGCTTCTGCCAATGTTAGTGCAAATATTTATGATAGAAAAGCCCTCTTTTCGTGATGCCATGTGGCCACTGAAGAAAGTTGACCCATGCATGGCTGCCTTCTTAGACTGAGTAGAGAGCGAGGAGTGTGTTATTATGAAGCGTGGTTTGGTTCTAATCACACTGTATGGGATTATGTGAATATTTACTCTGAATAAATGTGATGCATTTTCAATATTGCCCAAACACCATATTTTGGAGTTCTGTACCTACAAGGTACAGGCGCTGTAATTCTGTACTTCTGTACCCATGGCAGACGTTGCTAATCAATCGTATAGCCTTGTCTACTGAAGCTGCTTTGTGCAGACAGAGCCTGACAACCTTGAACCGAATCTCTTAGTCTAGGAACTGAGATCCATCAATCATATGCTAGAGGAAACCAGTAGATTGATGAGGGTTGGGACAAACTAAGTATTTTCCAATTGTACTTGGAATTCTATTCTTGACTCTGATTTAGAGGTTTTGGCTTCACTGTAGGTTTTAATGTCAACCACCTGGACATTGCCCCCCGCTATGCCAGCATTCTCATGGGCATTTCAAACGGAGTGGGAACCCTCTCTGGAATGGTCTGTCCCCTCATTGTCGGTGCAATGACCAAGCACAAGGTAATGGTCTCCTCTGTGGCTGTGGGTTAGGGTATCGGAGGACTGGAGCACTACACAAACTTGAGGTTTCGAGGCCCTGCTCCAGTCTGTATATGTGTGTCCTTGATCTTGACTGAGTCAGTTGAACTTCTTTTTTTCTTTTCTTTCTTCTTCTGTTTTCAAAACCATTGCTTGTTGCGGGCACCGGAGCTAATTGTTGTTTTGCTCCACTTTTCTCCATTGAGACATAAAAGTTTGGGGACGAGGTGTGAAGACCATAGAGACTGTTTAGAGACGCACAGAAGAAACTGAGGCAATCAACTCAGGATATATGAGTTACCCAAGATCGTTTTATAATTCTAAGTGATTAAACTTTATACCCTATTTCTTACCTATTGCTTAGCGTGTTCTAGCATAAAAGTATTAGTGCTGTTATACTTCCTTGTTAAGAAGAAAAGAAAAACAAGACATTAATGATCCTTTCCAAGAACGTACAAGGGTGTGGCCCTCAGTTACTGAACCTTTGTGTATTTAGACTAGGCTAGGTAGTAGGGGAAGATCACACGATCCATCCAGAGTTCATTTATAGGCCACATGATTTCTTTATCTTTGTCACTGAAAGAGTTTCAGGATGCTGCTTTCTGCAAATAAGAATTTTTTGATACCCTGGGGTTCTTACCCAATTATTTTTTTAGTTGGATAGCCTATTATAAAAATAACTTCAGAAACGTTTCCAGCTTCTTGGATAAGAAAGTGTGAGATAACTTTTCTTTTTGACAGAAAAGAAAGGATTTGGGGATTTTACAGGCAGAGGATCTGTTTTCCCTCTGTGTTCATGAAATGATAGGGTTGACAACATGACTATTAAATCCAAGATATACTATCTTCCCCTAACTTTAAACACAAATTCCCATTATGTTTTTGATTTACTGTTTTTTTATCTAGAAAATATCATTATAAATAAGCTATTGGGAGTCAAGGGTTAGCACTTGAACGGCTCAAATATTGTCATGTATCTAACAGCAAGCAAGAAGGACACCTCTGATATTTCAAATGGTGGGTTCCTGAATTAAGTTTAATTTAGCTTACTATGTGAGAGGAAACCCCATTTTGGGCTTTTTAAAAAGCTATGCAATGGTGCTGCATGTATTTTTTGCATGTTGTTTACATCAAAAGAATTCATATTCATTTTAGTTTCTAACTTTGATATTCATTGTAGTCTTAACTTTCATTTGTTAAGTTTTTCCTTTGAATTAGGCTTGGATCCTGGATCCTGCTTCTGACAAATGTCCTCCAAAGAAACACAGCATTGCCTTTGGGGTGGGCAGGTGCTTTCGTGCCAGTGGAGGGCTCCAGGACATACTGTTAATCTCTGGTTTTGGTTAAAATATTAATTGGCCCTATATTTCCTTGTTTAGACCCGAGAAGAATGGCAGAATGTGTTCCTCATAGCTGCCCTGGTGCACTACAGCGGCGTGATCTTCTATGGGGTCTTTGCTTCCGGGGAGAAACAGGAGTGGGCTGATCCCGAGAATCTCTCTGAGGAGAAATGTGGCATCATCGACCAGGATGAATTAGCCGAGGAGACAGAACTCAACCACGAGAGTTCTGCGAGTCCCAGAAAGAAGATGTCCTATGGAGCCACCACCCAGAACTGCGAGGTCCGGAAGAAGGAATGGAGAGGACAGAGGGCAGCGACCCTTGACGAGGAAGAGCCCACATCCTACCAGAACGAAGAGGGAAACTTCTCAGACACATCCCAATGAATGAGAGACACTTCCGTCTTCTCACCTTAGAACCAGAAAGCATCCATACCTATTGCCTTCCCCATAGCCCACCTGGCCAGAAGGTCAAATATGGGGACGCTGGAGGCAGGAAGGGGGAGGGGAGGAGATTTAATCCACAAGAGAGAAAAGAGAAATCTCTTTCAATGACATTTTAGAGGTATGGAGCCTGCTCTGCTCTCAGTTGATAGTACACACATACATATTTTTAGATTGGCAGTTGACCCTTCTCTTAAGGAACTGAACTTATTCAGAAAGGAATAACTAGCAGAATAAGGGAAACAATAGCATGCTGTTCAAAGAAATATTGAAGGAAATGGGAATTTCCTTCCTCCTTGGCCTGGAGGAGAGTGAACAAGAGTTGCCAGCGTAACACTCTGAGGGCAAGCCATGCCAAGGAGGTGTTCCCATGCTGTGCCAGGTGCTTTACAAACCATCTTATTTAATCTCCATGCCTCTATGACATACATTTCTTATCCCCATTTTACAACTAAGGAAACTAAAAGCAACAAGAGATTCACTTGCCCAAGGTCATTCTCCCAGGGCCAGTGCTGAGATTGGTAAAGCCCCAGTTTTAGGAAAGAAGATTTCTGCTCAGTGTGAGATGGACATTTTTAATAATGCAAACCGAAAATGAAATGGGTTTTCTGGGTGATTCCCTATTTTGGCAGGCATGGGGGATGGGAAACATTTGACGGATGTGGATTCAAACATGGCACATGAGGGGCTAGATTCAAAGACCCTCAGTGTCCTACATTATCTGAAGAGTCAAATGGTTCTGTGAATTCATAATTTTTTAAATAAGAGTCACAGACTATATTAGAGATTGAAATTAAACAAAAAGAAAGCTAAGAAAAAAAGCCAAATTTCTAGGAATCTGATGGTCAGAATAGCTCAAAAGGAGTAAATAAGGGATTGGTTATTAAATTTTAACTGTCTGTGATAACAAGAATGTGGTTAAATAATGTCTCAAATAACTTATAAACCTTTAAGATGTTTACCAATTTAATAAGTAGGTTCATATGTTTTATTAGGTAAAATTCACTTGAAATGTCTTGTGTTTTAAAAAATATATATCTTTAGACTTTTCTCCTGGGGGTTATATTAGAAAGATTAATGAAATTATAAAAAATTATGATTGAAGTATTCATACTGACTCTATTTGGAATGATAATATAGCAGTAGTTATAGAAGGAAATACTAGAATGAGAACATCTGGGACAATTAAACCTGTAGTTAGTGTTGAAAAATTCATCTTTACATAAGGCAGTAACATGAATATTCTCTAGATATATTTGAAATTTTAATGTTGGCATGTAAAGTGTTATTTGAAAATAAAACTATTTTCCTGTTCATTTGTTTTGAAAATTTTATTTCTACTTTCAGAAGAAAAATATAGTATCATGGGAAAATTATGGATTTATTTGTAGTTTATTATTAAAGTGTTTTTCCTAATTTTTCCTATATATATATTTCTGGTCCTTAGTTGGACCAGTGGAGTTGTAGTGTATTTTATTAAAAAAAAAATAACCTTGGGAAAAAAATTGTCTGACTCTTTATTAAATATTATTCTTTATATTACTAGTATAAATTTATGTTATCAAACATCTTTAAATCTCTTTAATGAGTTAGTCCATGTAAGTCCCTTAGAATAGTTCCTAGCACATAGAAAGTGCTCAATAGCTATGCTCATCATTATCATCGTTTAACCTTTTTTGGAACTTTTCAGTTGGAAAGAAAGCATGCTATGTTGTTTTTATCCATTAACCACAGACCTTATTGTGAAACTTATGCTGTTTTAAAAATATTAGAAATTTATGATAGCCAGTGTTTTATTTTTTTGTGTTAATAAAGTCAAATAACTATATTTAAAAAACCTCATGATAAAAGTAATATTGTGGATTGTGACAAAAAGTTATATTTATTCCATCATTTGAAGTTAATGTTGCATGCAGAAGTGCTACATTTTGCCCATATCTTGTTCTCATAGTTTGTATTTGTTTTTTAAAAAGGGAGCCCTGGATCATGATGTTAAAAACTAGAAAACATCTTATTTTGTCATGATGGGTTTTTCTCTGTGTAGGTTGATTGGACAAATAATTACATTTTGACACCAGACAGATACAGTTTGCAAGTCATTGTACATTTTGCTGCAAATGCCTGTTTGTAGAGCAACCCTTAGAGGCAGATCATTGATTCTAGCAGGAATGGAAGAGGGCCTGAGGGCTTGGATTCTTGAGACAAGAAAAGTCTGATGGTCTTTTCCAAACAATGAAAGTTTTGGAGATTCTTTAATATGACAAAAAATATTATTTATGCAAGAAATAATAGCCCATTTGTTATCCCTGCCTGGATGTTAAATTCAAGAGGTAAAAATTGGAACCTATTTATATTTTACACTGTCTCCTCCCAACCCCCCAAAACTTGTTATTCTGTTTGTGTTTCTTATCTCAGTTCATCACATCATCCTTTTGCTCAAGCTAGAATTCTTACAGTCATCTTTTACCTCTTAAAAAAATTTCCTTCTCTCTCTTCTCTGCCAAGTTAGTTTAATTTAATTTGCAGTCTATAGATCCATGTCTTACATCAGCTTTGGAAAATCCTCAGCTATTATCTCTTAAGGTATTGCTTTTGCTCCATTCAGTTAAATGTATTCTCGATTATATGCTGGTCTCTGAATGTCTCTTCTATGTTTTCTAGCCTTTTGCCTCTCTATGTGTCATTCCAGATATTTTCTTCTGACTTATTTTTCAGTTATGTATTTCTCTCTTCAGGGAGGTCTAATAGGGAAAAATCTACTCATTGTGTTCTTAGTTATTGTATTTTCAGTTCCAGAATTGTTAATGGTTCTTCATTTCTGCTATATCTTTTAAAAAATATTTCCAGGCCAGGTGTGGTGGCTCGCACCTGTGATCTTAGCACTTTGGGAAGCCAAGGCAGGAGGAATTGCTTGAGGCCAGAAGTTAGGGACCAGCCTGAGCAAGAGTGAGATTCTGTCTGTACAAAAAACAGAAAAATTAGCTGGGTGTGTTGGTGTACACCTACAGTCCTAGCTACTTGGGAGACTGAGGTAGGAGGATCGCTTGAGCCCAGGAGTTTGAGATTGCTGAGAGCCATGCTGATGCCACTGCACTCTAGTCCGGGCAACAGAGCTAGACTGTGTCTCAAAAAAAAAAAAAAAAAAAAATCCAGTCCTCTGCTAAAGGACTATGCTACATGGTTTTCAACCATATATTTTATTTCCTGGAATATAGTAATTGCTTTAAAGTCTGATCAATGCCAGTATTTGGAGACCATGTCATTCTGTTGCTGGTTTTGCTGGTTCTTGTTTGTATTATCTTAACTGGGTCTATGCCTGGTTTTCTTTGATTATATCAGACATTGTATTTGAAAAACTTTTTGTAGAAATAATTTTAGCCTTAAAAATAATGATTCCCCCCCCCCGGGAAGTTTTTACTACCATGTAGGTTTTCCAATGCTTTTGAGCAGAATTTTTAAAAAAATGCTTTGTTTCGCTTTCCTAGTGTGAAGGTTGGTCTGAATTACCTAGTCTGCCATTAACAGACACTGAAATCTCTTAATTTAATCTTCATGAATTCTCTCAAAGGGACCTATTTCCCTGGGGATAGTGTGGCAATAAATTAAACCTCAAATCTCAATGGTTTAGTACAGCAAATATTTAGTTCTTTCTTGCTTTACAGGCTGAATGTGGGTTGGGTTGGGGTAGGGTAGAGAGGCTTGCTCCAGACAGTCACTCAGGTATCCAGGATTGACTTTTCTCCACTCACCATCTTGTAGTTAACTATTTGTAACATATAAATTCTGGCATCACCACTAAGGGGTAAGGGAGAAGGAGGCATACTGGGTTTCATTGCTTCATTTAGAAATAACGCTGTCACTTTTGGTCCCTGTCTACTGACCTACACTAGCCACGTAGCCCTAACCTAACTTCTAGGGTGGCTAGGGAGTAAAAGGGAGCATGTAGATTAGTGAGTAAGCACTAATTACATCTGCCACTCAGCTCTATCCTTGTTTCAGGGTCTTATGAACTCTCACTTAGCATGTTGAAATAGTCAGTCTTCTTGCCCCTAGTGTCATAAATGATGTGATGCTGCCATGTGACATTCTGGGAGATCTGAACTAGGTTGTAGGGAGCAAATCTTTGTAGTGGAAGGAGTTTTGAGTCCCCTCCAGGAAAGACCAGAGGCCTCAAAAACATCAATTCATTGGAATAAAATAGATTCTGATCTGATTCAAACTTGAGTTAATAACCACACAGGCTAATTTGATGGGACAGGGAAGTTGAGCTTTCCTTAAGTTTACACGTGGTACTATGTCCCCACCTTATACCTAAACTCTCTCCATACATAATCTCATTTAATTTAATGGCAATCCAGTTAAAGAGGCTCAACGATTTACTCCCAAGCATGTATCAATAAATAAATGGTATCTCAGAGCAGAATTTAAACTCAAGTCTCTAAAGGCCATGTTTTAATCTTAATTCTTAATTGAAATGAATAATTTAATCTTATGCTTAATTTAACATTAAATCTAATCAAGATTAGATGCATATTTTAATCTAATCTTAATTAAATTATACTCTTGATTCTTAACTTTTAATCTGTTCTCCACAGCTTCTCCTGACTGGCAGTGTTTCCAGACAATGGTGTTCTCAAAGTCACGAGAGTGCCCCAGTTATTTCAGTAGGTGTGATGAAACTGATGGAATGAGCCCTGCCAGTTTAGTCCAGACCCCAGGATAGGGACAGGTGAAAAACCAGATGAACCTGTGAGATCCCTCTTCTCAGCTACTGCTGGACTGGAATGAGACTTGAGAACTTGCTGCATTTCCCCTATTTCCCTGGCTACACGTGTAGGTAAGATAGGATGATTGCACCCAAAATTTACTGGGTTTGTGCTTGTTGGGGGCGGGAGGTTTGCCAAGGGGCCAAATTTTTCCCAGGCATCTAGGTAAGGAAACGACACTGTCCAGCCACTCAGTACATGTCCTGCTTAGAATAGGTGCTCAATAGATAACGTTCTTCAAAATCTGATGTGATGTTTAAGGAAGATTGTGCTGATCATAGCACTCAAGTTGACTTGTTTAAACAGGGCAGATTAAATGTCAGTATTTGTATCTGCTTTCTAAAATTACAAATTTTTTAAAAACTGCATAAATGTGCCAGGCTGATGTGAAAGAGGGAGAAAAATCATATTTGGGAAGCCGGATTGGGATGCCTGAGTTTTAACTGACTTCAGCAGAACTGAGTGAAAAAAGAAGGAAGCTGTTTCATGACACCACACCCAGGAAAACTGCGACATTGAAGGCACCAGCACCAGGTACCTCTGGAGGATGGAGTGAGGGGCATAGATAGGGTAGGGTTGGAAGAGGAGGTCTGCAAACATAGGATTGATTGAAAGTTAGGGGTGTTGGATTTAGCAACCCTGTTGAAAGTACAAGGAAAGAAGGAGCACTTATAACCCCAGAGTCTCTGCCACCAGCTCAACCAAGAAAACGCCGCTCTCCGTACCTAGTGGAAGATGGGAGGTGTTTTCTGGAAGGGGGAACTCTGGACACAAGAAAACCCATCATAGCTGAATATCAGCTCTTAAACTTAGATATTTTAGTCTATGTTGGTCATTGATGTATCTCAAGTACCTAGAGATGGCTGGCAATTAATAGCCACTTAGTAAATATTTGTCAAATGAATGAATAAATGAATGAACTTTATTGAACACAGAGAAATTAATTAAAAGTTTGCATGCTGAACACTGAAAACTTCCAGATGCTTTCTTGGGCTGACCTTCCAAAAATGCTGCCAGTCTGAATGATATCCCCTTGGCAAGGGAATTAAGGGATTCATGGGGTGAGGGGTGGGAACTCACATACTAAGAAAAAGATCTTACAACTATTGACATCTGGGGATTTCCCCATCAAAATCTGCAAAATATGCTGATCCCTGCCCAATCTCTCTATGGGGCCCACCCACCAAGCTTTGCCCATGGGAATAGAAACCCTGTTATTCATTAATTCATTCACTCATTCATTCAACAGTTATTTAGCACCTATAATGAGCACCTCAATTTTTGAGCACCTATAATATTCTAGGCATTAGGGATAGAAAATAAGTGAATGAAATAAGTCTTTGCTCTTATGGATCTTACATTCTAGAGGACAGACATGAAAAATAAGGCCACTGATTAGTAAATCCAGGACCTAGTCTGCCAGAGAGTGATAAGTGCTGAGAACAAATATAAAACAGGCAAGGGGGCTGGGGGGTGTGAGGTCGGCGTTAGGTTGAGTGTTC